GGCATCAAGGAAGTCAAAAGGAAAGGGGAGGGGGATAGAAAAAAATGTCCAATTACTGCAGAACCTGCTTGGCTTTGCCAGGGGTCTCCTCAAAGCCAGTTGACCCAAACATCAATTGTCCCTCCCCAAATGGATATATTTTTATTGGACACTAACCTCAAAGGGATAAAGAACTGAGTGGTTCCACCAGGATTCAAATTTCTGTCTGATATTCAACCAACAGAGTTACCCAGGGATATGTTTTGTAGTTTTAAAATGTTTCATAAGATGAATTGCCAATCTATTTGTTAAAAGAATACATTTTATCAATTATTTCCAATCTACCCACCCCATCAAAGAATGTGGATTTACAACCTAAGGGTTTGGGTCTATTTGTTATAGACATCTCACTGTGTTTAGGTTCTGCTGCTGTTAAGCACTCTGAGACTCTACCCTGTGTGGAGGGTGCAATATAAATGCAAGTTGTTGTTGTTTAATGAGTTTGTTTCATCATAAATCCAGAAAGAATTCTCTCCTTCGCACACAGACATAAAATGAATTTGTTTTAAATCAAACCAAATAAGCGATTGAATCAGTTCAGAAGCAACCTTCAACATGTGCTAAAAGGACATTGTTATAACGTTTTCTACTCATAGCAATAATAAACATTTGTAGGATTTGTGACAGGGAATGAAACACTCAGCGTTCCTTTCTTTTTCCTCTTCCCCCTCCAGTCATCCTCCCTGGGTTGTGTGATAGTGGGGAGGAGCTTGTTGTTAACATTGTTTAACACTTTCCTGGGTGATGAAAATACAAGTGCTGGGAGGCCACTGCAGGGAGAGATGCATACCAGCTGAACTGAATTCCACATGATGCTCGAGTCTATAAAGCTCAGTCTTCACGCCTGACAATATCTAGACATCCTTAGAACAATGAAGCCTGTTACAGATAGTTTAAAACCCAAGGCATTGTTCAGTTCAAACTAATAGCCCTCAGGGAATGCATGTATGCATGTCCCTTCCCTCCCCACCCTGACCATTTCCCCCCTGTTCGGGTCCTGACCCAACTGTCCAGCGCCATGGGACGTCCTTCCAACGTGAAAGGCGCTCTATAAATGAAATCTTGTTGTTGTTGTTGTAGTGGACGCCTTGGAGTGAAATACAAATTTACAAAAATTACAGGACTAAATTAATAGATGATTAAAGATTGTCATCAATCAAGACAGGATGAACCCCAATATCAGATTACAGGTTATACAGCTGCAATATGTCTTAGATTGCAGAATCTTTACAATGCATGGAACAATAAATTAAAAGCAACACCATCTTTGCAAAAGTCCAAGCATTCCTGGACAGTTAAAACTATCTGAGTTTGGATGCGGGGCTGTTAAAATGTTCACGGAGGGGGATTACTGTGCAGTATTTATGATTTTGACTGAAGACCACTTTACTCTTCTGTGATATCTTGCAGGTTTAATCTGAAAACAGTCTTCCCATTGATCGTAAAGAAATTCAATACACAGTATAGATTAGAATAGAAAACAGATGCTTATTGATTAAGAGGACATGCACAATGATGGGATTATCCTGACACTGTATGAAGTCCTAGGATACTGCTGTGGCATATTCATTCCAGCTGCAGTTTAGCCCCATTACAACCCCCCTGGCACACATTCAAATGGGGTTTATTCTCCATCAGATACGGTCATTGGTTTAAGAAGTTTTCTCATAGGAACACAGAAATGTGCAGGACTGGCAAAAACTATTTCTTCTTCACAGTTAAATTCAAAACTGCTCCTTCATAAAATATGTAGATAATTTCAATCAGCAAATACAATGACAGCAACAATTAACCTGAGTGGGTATTGCATTCGAGATGATTAAATAAATCCATATTTTATCATGTTAATTAAATCAGTTATGTTTTTAAATTGTATATGTAAATTGTAAAATGTAAATGTAACATATTGTCCTGCCTCACGATTGCAGCCAGACATAAAATAATATAAATGAGGGAATCAATTGATTGCGGAGGCCACCACCTCCCTTCACATCAGCTGCAGTGACAAGACCACTTGTTACGCACACTGGCTGAAAAATAGGCCAGAGAACGACTGTATGGAACTGGCATCATTGCTTAAACCAGGGTGGTCCAACCTTTTGGCTGCTGAGGGTCGGAAGCCCTCTTTGAGAAATGTCTGCGGACCGCACCAGCAATATTTTTGTGTTTCCCTTCCAGAACCATAACATTTACTGGTTATGGAGGGAGCAGGTGGGCCAGAAGAAATGGGGGTGGGCTCAGATAAAATTGGCCCTTGGGACGCCAGTGGGACCACCCTGGCTTAAACCATCCATCTCAAAATGCAGCCCTGTTACTCTTTGAACTTTTTAGAAATATGGAACATTAAATATACCAAAACCGCACACTTGGGCTCAGAACAGTGAATAGAAATATAAACTGTCAATCGTAAGCTAGCAAGTCAAAGCCGTATTATTTAGGATGAATGCGAGCAAGCAGGGCAAAGATAAACATCCAAATTGGCCAGTTGCCTACCACAATGGGAAGTTAGCTCACCTTGTATGTAAAGACCCACCATTCCCAGAGATGTGGAACTTGGAGTAGCATAAGATACGTAGAAGCCATGAGAAGGGGCATCGTGTTCCCAACCAACCTAACCACAACCCACTGAAAGCCGCTGTCCAACTTTAAAAAAAAGTCTCTTTTTTTGAATTGCATATAATTATTTGGCACATTCTTGGCATTAGATTCACGACGTCGGTGACTCCACCGCTGCCAAAACAAACAGTTGAGGATCGCTGCTACTTCAAAAATAGAACGTGTTATAAAAAGGGCATTTTTTCAAGCTATTCCCTTTTAGGATCACACCCATAGCAAGGCTGACCAAGGCAATGGGCAAGTGAGTGGGAAGCCTGTTATCCTGGTGGCGGCCATTCTTTCTGGTCGACCAACAAAATAATTTTTTTTGATTGAATATTTCTTGATTTGTGCCATAAATCAAAAAAAAAACTGGAAACACACTTCCATTCAAACACGGGCTTACCTGGACTGGTGTGTATGTTCGGGGAAGTGGGCTTCTCAGCCCGTGGGCGATAGTTTTTTCGTCTGTGTGCTAACCTAGCTCCCCCCCTTCCCCCATAGCCCAGGAATCTGAAGCTATTTGTAGAATTACTACAACTCCCAACTGAAATCAGCTGCCTTAAACCCGGAATAATAATCCTTGCACTTGATACAAAGCCTTACCATGTCGTTGAGATGTGTCAAAGCACTTCACAGGTTACACTGTAAAGTGAATTGACTGTATTTTGTAGGCGAAACGCAGCCAATTGAAACTGAGGTCTGTCTGATCTGTATGCCTCAGTATACAACTTGGTGCTGTGAACCATTAGCAGTTCAAGCATATTTCACAATAGAAAATATAAAACTTACATAATTGGCCATTGCAATGCCCAAATATGTCTTACAAATTACACTCACAACAATTTACAGCAGTGTGGTCTAACCCTTTTGCTTCCGCGGGACAGATTCCCAATTTGAGAAAGGTCTGCGGCCGCATAAGCAATATTTTATGTTTCCCTTCCAGAAATGTAACACGTTTACACAGCACTTTTTTAATGTTGGAAGGATATCTCAAAGTGCTCGGCAGGGCACCTGAGCTTGAGGTGGGAGCCAAGAGAGATGGGATGGGGGGGGAAAAGATGACGAAGAGTGTGGTCAAAGAGTTAGGTCTTGACGTGCTTTGAAAGGGGAGGGAGCGAGCAAGTCGGAGGGACTGCAGGAATGGAACTCCAGAGAGCGGGGGCAAACTGGCGATGGTGGGGCAGATGGGGTGGGGGGACATGAAGCAAGCTGGTTTTTCTTGTAAAGGGAATGGGCGGGTCGGGAGGTCACAGAGGTAAGGGTGGGAGGGAGATGGAAGGACGTAGAAAAGTTTTTCACTCTCACTCACAAACACTCTCTCTATCCCCTCTCTCTCTGCTGTCTCCCTCCCTCACATTCTTTCTCTCTCAATCTCACCCTCTCTCTTCTCTCACTCACACGCACACACTCTCTCAACCAATCCTCCCCTCTCACACTCTCTCTTCCTCATCTCATACTCTCCCTCTCTGCTCCCTCCCTCTTTCTCTTCCCTCTGCCTTTCTCATTCAATTATTCTCTCCCCCTCCCCAATCCCTTTCTCTCCCAATCAGCCACTCAATTCACTATCTGCAGGGGCAGGATCCAGCAATTGCAAAGGAGGCGGTTAGTAAGAGACACGTTGCCTTCCTGGCAGACTGCAGTAATGGCCTGTATTATTTTCACTCTCCCCGCTGTGTCCTCCCAACCGCTGGCGCCTGCCGCTGCCATGGGAGAATGTTCACCAGGGAGATAGGGAGCGGAAGTTGGAAATGGTCTCGGGCCGGATAAAATCATCTGCCCTCGGGCCACCAGTTGGACCACGTTGATTTACAGTATGTCCTGTGAAGTGCTATGAGACGACCCCCCAACATGAAACAAATTATGGGAGTCCTGTAGCTCAATGGTTAGAGCATTTGCCTCGCAAGCAAGAGACCTCGGTTCGATTCCGGCAGGGCGAAACTTTGGGAAAGTTTCCTGACTCCACACGCCTGATAATAATCCCTCAAGAAAAAAAACAATAAAATTGATCACTTCAATCCACGACTGTTTGTGGGACACTGCTGATGGTAATTGACTACCATATTTCGCCCACAAATATACAGTCATTTCACTTTACAGTATATTCTGTGAATCACTTTGAGACGTCTAGAAGATGTGAAAAGCGCTATATCAAATGCAAGGGTTATTATATCAAATGCAAGGATTATTCTTATAATCTCCAGTACATTTAGCGTGTATTCATCAATGAAAGGCACAACCTTTCAGCAATCACTGCTTTCTTAAATAATCTCCGCTTTCACTTCTCCAAACATATATACACACACACGGAGAGTGAGTGATAGATATTGCAGTAGCTTTTCTGCTTCTCATTTACAAGCCCTTACCATGCAGTTCATGGCAAAGTGATTGTGCTGTGTCTGAAGTTCCATCGCATGCTGATGAGTGGCTCCAATCTCTGTGTAGCTGTTCAGAAAGAGGCCTTTGTTGTGAGTGATCCAGTCAAACATCTGGAAGAGAAGGAGGATTTACTATACGGTCATTGAATTGCATTTTTGAAGCAACTTATCAGCAAATTACTTGGTGAAGTTATCACCCACCAGTGACAGGAAACAAAACACATTGTGCAAAATAGACCTAACTAATATACACAAAGTATATTTCCTGTCATTTCCACCCTTTCTCTGTGCGTAGATTATTTGGACAGCAGTGAGCAGATGTATCAGGAACCAAGGGCACTCTTTTGTGACATAGGTTTAGCAACAGTTTAGAACCAAAAGAATCTTACTTACTTCTGTACTTACTTACAGAAGAATCACTTCAAGCTTCAAAGGACATTGACAACATGTTTTATAAACAACAAACTAGATTTCTAAATCAAGGAGAGTAAAATGATGGAACCTGTGGCACATTGTCAACACATCACCAGGTTTGGTGAATTAGGTTAGGAATTAACTTGAAAATTGTTTCAACAGATGCATCAACTTATAAGGCAAAAATATGAATTAGTTGTGTGGGCCACAAGAAGAAGCTTGGAGCTACGATTCTTTTTTGTAAATGTTCTATTTTAATGGGTTTCCACTTTGGAACGACTTCCCTTGTCCAAAATACCTGCAAACACTGTTGCTCAAATGACAAGCATCAGGAGTGGAATGGTATTCCAGATCCTGACAAATAGTACTGCAGTATTACAACAAAATGATACACTAACTAAGCTTTGTGCCACTTGATACTAAAATTTTCACATTTCCTTCCATCTCCTGTCACCAGATTTCTCCTGCCTTTGGTGCAATGAGCCAGCCCAATTAACAGAACATATTAGCCACTGCTTTGCCGTGGTGTTCCCTTAAGGTAACCCAAATACAGTAGATAGAGCACTTGTGGAGAGAATATCAGTTCACCTCTGCAAGAGGTGTACTAGCCGACGATATTGCACTGCACATCATTTCATTAAAGAAGCACAATTGCAGCCATAAAGCAATGGGAGATGAAGAGCTGAAATATCTGATGGGAAATAGAAGAAGCCAATTAATGGATTTTAGTTTTAAAAAAGCAAAACTCTAATTTCAGGTTGTAAGCTGAGATACCATTCATTAAAGACAGATTTTTCCTCTCGAGTCCAGAGCTTTCACAATCACTATGAACACATTTATCAAATTAAAAAAGGCTGAATTGGTTATCAATCCAACTTAATTTTGTTTGAAAAGTTAGCTAGACTAGAAACATGATACTGTATTTTCAGAAGCTCACACAAAAAAGGGGTTGGGGAAGAGGCTCCATAAATCCTGCTCGTTTATTAAAGTAAAGTACATCTCGTTTACTCTTACCTTTTCTGCATCTTGTTCAAAGAGTCTGAGCTGAAAACACTGATCTAGCTTCAGCTTGCGTACATGCCACATCTGATGCAGATGCTGTCTCGTCGAGTGCAGTTTGTCCAACATACTGGACACTTTTGGTACAAGACCCTGAAAGTCTGCATTCCCCGATATGGAGTTCTTATGAGGAAAACTTTCACTGCTTTGGATCCTCTGCAGTAGTTTTTGCCCTTCCAGGTCAAGTTCCTCAATGGGAGCCTTGATAACCTTCTTCTTAAGCAACGTGTGCTCTTCAATCATCTTTCGAGCTCCATCCAGATCCTGAGGGAAGTCTTTTTTGGCCAGCATCTCCTGCAGCTCTTCCAGTCTGGATAACATGTGTGATGCATTACTTATAAAGTCTTCAAACGCAACACGGATTTCAATCCACTCCTCGTGGTTGTACTCCAGGCAGCCGTCAAATTCGGGAGTGAGCTGGGATGGGTCCACCACTTTGGTAAGACCTTCAACAGACACCATGTTCGTCTAGAATCAGGTGGAAACAAACAACACGTTAGGTGTCTGGTATGGAGAATAATATCGGCACAGACCTGATGAGCCATATAGTCTGTTTCTGAGTATCAATAATCTATGAATATTATCACATTAATGAAAATGAACATATCAATTAAAAATAGTCAAAAGCAGTCAATAATTATCACTGGCATAGATGGGGGTATAGCCCTTTCTGCCTCCAGTCACATTCTGCCAGTGAGAATTGTTGAAAGTTTTTAAACCATATTTTTTGTTAACATGATAACCATCACCGGTGGGATCACACGCTGCAATTTTAATCCCTATGAGTGCAAAACACAGTCTCCAAAAATATAGTACAATGACATAATATGGTTTCATCGTTGTCAGAAGTTTGCAATATAATTAACCGGCAAAGCAATTATTGAAGCTTCCTGATTTCTTGGGAGAACTGAAGGCGGCACTGTTTTTTTTTGAAAAACTAAAGAGAAAGTGGCTTCCCCAATTTAAAACATTGCTCCCTGTGGCATGTGGCTTTCCTGTATGAAGCTCATGATTTATTTAATTGGAAACATCAGGCAAAAATAGAACACACAGGAATTTTTTTGGTAAAAAATGGTTCAACGTGATCTTTAGTCTTTTTTTTTAAAATCTTGTCCATATGTGCCCAATAGAAGATGTTTTACTATATTACATCAGGGTGGTCCATCCTTTTGGATGCTGAGGGCCGGGTGCCCTGTTTGGGAAATGTCCAGAGGCAGCATCAGCAATATTTTTGTGTTTCCCTTCCAGAAACATAACATAACCACATTTATGCAACGCCTTTTGCACGTCAGAAGGATGCCTCAGAGCACTTGACAATGTCGGCTGGGCACCTGAGCTGGGGGTGGGAGCTGAGGGAGATGGGGCAGGGAGGGGAAAAGATGACCGAAAGCGTGGTCAAAGAATTAGCTTGTGACTTGAAAGAAAGGAGGGAGTGGCGAGTTAGAGGGACTCCGGGAATATGCTCCAAAGAGTGGGGGCAAAATGAAGATGGTGGAGCAGATGAGGGGGTGGGGTGGAGGGGACATGAAGCAAGCTGGTGTTTGCTGGGCAAAGGGAACGGCCGGGTCGGGAGATCGCAGGGGTAGGGTTGGGAGGGGGAAAGAAAGCTGTAGGAGTTTCTCACTGTGGAAAGAGGGAGCATGCTATGAGGAAACTGTACGGCACGTCACTCTGTCCCCCACCCCGGCGGCCGAGGGAGGCTTCGATCACCTGTCCTGACAGTGAATCACAAAACTCTGCCCTCACTTCCCTCTCTCACTTTCTCCCCCTCATGCTCTCTTTCTCTCAATCACTCTTGTTACCTCTCTATCAATCATGCTCTCTCCCTCAGTCACGCTCCCACCCCCACCTTTATCTGTTAGACTCTCCACACACACTCTTTCTCTCACTCACATACACGTCCTCTCTATCTCCCCTCTCACACACTTTTTCCCCCTCGCCTCTGGGAATGGCTCCTCTGCCGGCCACAAGTGGGTGCTCACTATCTGGCAGCGGCAAGAGCCGGCTGTTGAGAGGATGAGGTGGTAAGGAGACCCGCTCGCCTTCCCCTCAGCTCGGGAGGGACTTCCTGACAGACTGCAGCACCAGGCAGCATTATTTCCACTCCCCGCAGCTCAATGTACTGAGATACTCAATTACCCACCGCATCCTCCCAACCGCCAACTCCTGCCGCTGCCATGAGAGGATGGTTCACCAGGGAGGGAGGGAGGGAGGAAGGGAGGGAGGGAGGAGGCGAGGAGGGAAGGAGCAGCACAAAGTTGGAAATGATCTTGAGCCGAATGAAATCATGCCCCAGGCCAGATGCAGACTGTGGTCCCCCGGTTGGATCACCCTGTATCGCATAAATATGCTCGATACTTTTCATATGCGAAAACTTTATTTCAAAATTGCTTATAATAATAAATAATAATTCTTGCATTTGATATATTTGCTTGCACAGGTATGACGCATTTGACATTGGAGTTATTTAACACTGCAATAGGGACTATTGTTTTTGGTTGAGGGTGGGAATTGAGAGAGATAAGCCGTGACGTGTCTGGCAATGGAATGTATTAATCATGTCAACCCTCTGTGGCAGTCTTGGTATATAATTTAGGTTGACACTCTATGTAGTCCTAGGCATGTGCTGTATTGTGCATTGTTGGAGGTGTGGTCCTTCGGATGAGACATTAAACTGAAATCCCATTTGGAAGTTAAGGTGGATATTAAAGAACCTACGATACGATTCAAAAAGAAAAGGAAGTTTTTACCAGTGTCCTGGTCAACAATCCCACAAATAAAATTAGTCATTCACTTCATGGCTGTTTGTGGGACATTGCTGTTTGCAGTTTGTGGCTGACACTTTCACCCACAAAAACACACCGTCCTTCCACTTTGCAGTAATATCATGTGAAGAGCTTTGGAATGTCCTCCTGACATGAAATGTCAGGTTAAGATTATTATTATTAGTCCCGTTCCTTAGCTAGGCTGGTACATAGTCCTCCAAGATATGCTGACCACTGACCAATCGGCCTGGCTCATTGGCAGGTCTTGGAAATGCAAACCAGTCACTGCGGCTAGGGATTCTTCCCACTCAACTCCCGTTAGTTCTACAAACAAAAGCCTTAATGTGTAAGGTGGTCCTTTCCGTACAAATAGTGAGAAGTTTGCCAGAGAGTGCTCTCAATGGCAAGCTTTGCAGCTTCAGCTGATTAAATTTTAGCAGCATCCCTTCATGCACTATGAGGTCCCCAACTCTTGGATCTCAAAACCCTGTGCCTAATATTCTCCAGAATTAGATAGGTAGGTTGCAACTTTCCAGGGAGAGAGTGTGTATTCTATTTCACTCGCAGGGAAATTTCCACATGGAAGTGACAAATCTATGTGGAATGCTCAATCTGATTTGTATAATCTTAAGCACGGTGATTGGCTTCCACAAGCTCCACATGGCCGAACAAAAACTCCATCACAATCACATTTCTTGGGCATAAATTCAAAATGATTGATCCTAGATGAGTTAGTTCTCCTTTACTGTTTAGGAGGTGTGATGTCAGGGAGTTATCTCATATTGGCCACATTCTGCTGATGTACAACAGCCTGAATGTTTGCAGTGTTTTATTTATATACCTTTTTAGCTTAATAGCAACTAAAGTACATCTTTAAAATTTCAGCAGCCGGACCACACATGAGGGATATGACATCATCTAGTAACCAGTTACTCACTGCTGGTTCCAATGAATAACTTGGAAATTAGCCTTGCAAAAGAAGTTAAAGATAAAAATGCCTTTTTAAAACTGGCTCATTCGCCAGACATGAATGGGTTGGCAACTTGACTCATTCCAGACATGAAAGGCACTATACGAATGTAAATTGTTGTGGCATTACACACTGTTCATAAAACTGAATCCTTGCTGACTAACCACCACAGATCAGTATTTAATGAGGACATCAATCATCCAATGGGCCTCAAGAACATGAGGTAACATTTCTTAACCAAAGTTAAATATTATAAAAGATAACAAAAAAAATCCAAAAAAGTGTCTGGTTTATGCAGTGAATTAAGGAATATCAGCTCTCTTAGGCATTCTTTCATAACTGAGAGACAAAATTCAGGCTGTTTTCTGCTCATGTTACATCCACACTGAATGCAAAGGATGGTCAATTCAGTCCTCATAATAACAACAATAATCATAATAACAACAATAATAATCCTTGCATTTTAAAAAATGCAAATTTAGTTAGTGGTTTTATATGAGTGGGGTCCCTCAGGTTTATTAATGAACTATTAGCGACTGGGCATCGCATTACACTAGTGTACACAATGAGCTGACGATAGCAATGGCATACTGAAATACAAGCAAAAACATGTCCCTAAGTGACTGGGCCTGGGCCATGGGCTTTTCTCTACGTGTTATATAAGCAAAACAAAAAGGGTAAGCTTCATTATACACAAGAGTTCAAATTAAATAATTGTGGTCCTTCAGCATTTTGGCTTAGTTCCACATTTGTTCCCAACCCTCACTCTGTGCCTCTTTCCCCCTCCATCCCCCACTAACGCTGAAATAATAATATTAATAATCCTTGCATTTGATACATCAAGAAAAAATCTGTTCTCTGCCTATTGGTCTTTGTGGGTTAAACAATCAAACTTTTATAATGGATCTTTTAGCCCCACTTTGTGCAGCTAAACCACATGTTGAAACTTGACCAATTTTTTTTTTACACAACTGTGCACTCACGTGAAACCTAAAATAAACCATCAAAATAGCATGTACAGGAAAGAAGTTTCAAATGAAATGGCTTGGCAAAGAAAAACATATGTTGGGAGTCATTAAGATTATGAATGGTTTGGTTATTAGTTCAATAATATCTAAATCTTATATCTGAAAGTACCTCAAACTCAAACTTGGAGCTGCCAAAGTTAGTTCTCTGCTTCTGCCAGAAGTTGTCTGGCTTGATGATCAGTGCAACATGAATACATCGAGGAAAGGATTCCTGCAGAATCTTCAGCAGTGGCTTAATGGAGTCCCATTTGGATCCACGCATGTCAACTATTACAGTGAATCCTCGCTTGCACACCTCCTCACTGTGAAAACAAAACACAAATCACAATATAAGTATTATAATGGAAAATATACAGGAAAAATCAGATGAGGGCAGAGCAGTGGAACAGCATGAAATCAAGATGTTCCTATGAGATATAAAAGAACATAGGATCTACCTTTATTGCCCCATATTTCATGTATAAAAATGGCATTTACACAATTGTGGTCTAAAGAAATGTGTGCTGTTATACAGGATTACAACAAACTTTGACTTTGCATGCATGTAAACAACACACAACGTTTGGTTTGTTCATGCAAAGCACATTTATGCGTGTTGCACCCACAACTGCTTTTCACTTCTGGAGTCTGAGTTCGAATCCGGCACGAATCTAGCCCAAGCACATATGATGATATCTCTTTAGCATGTTGTGTAAACTGAGGTAGTCTTAACCTAGTTCCCCGATGGTAGGATTGGGTGCGCAGCACAAAATAAGCGTTAAAATGCTAACTTTGCTAAGGATCACTTTCTAAATTTCCCCAAAACTTGAATCAGTTTGGGGTTCTTCTCAGATTAAGGTGAGCGATGTTGTCAGGAAATAGCAGACACTATTTCGTTACATTTGGTTGGTGAACTCTTGAATCAAGCAGATCCTAAAAATGAATTACTACTCTTTACTTTCCCTTCTTCCTCCCCATCATTACCACAACACGAGCATCTTAGTCAGAACGTTGTGGATTCTTCAGGCCTCACATTAGACTTGAGATATAGACGTCTATGATGGGACAGCACTCGGAAGTACTGCACTGGCAGAGTACTGACATTCAAATAAAATATTAAACAAGGTTTTGCCTGCCTATTCAGATGGAACCTCGGCTTCACGTCTCATGTGAAGTACGGAACTTCCAACGATGCAGAAAATCCCAGCACTACGTTGGAGTGTGAGTTAGCACAGTCTAATGCGGGGCTTCAACCAACAACTGTTTGACTTAGTGGTAAGCGTGCTACCAACTGAGCTAGGCTAACACAGATTGGGCCTTGCTGTGTGCAAAATGGGTGCCATATTTGCCACCAAATCTGTCACTACAGTTAGCTGTAATTGCCATGAGGCACTTTGAAACTTTCAACATGTCAAGGCAAATGCATGTTCGTTCTTTTCACTAGATGTTCTGAATCTACAGCTCCAAGTATAATTGGGTGGAAGAGAAGAGAGAGCTCAGATTTATCCTAAATTTCCTAACAAAGCCCATCTCATGTTGTTACTAATTGGAAAATGTGACATTATAAATCAGCAGCAGGTTCACAACCTTCGTTTTCCTCCGTTTGTCACAGTTCTGCCGAGCCGCACCTGCTTGTGGTACCAGCTGCCTTTTCTCAGTGCCATCCATTGTCATTTCATTCTTATTTTAAAAACGCATCTATGAATGTGCATCATTATTTTTTAAAAATCTGTAATGTTTCCCAGTAGTATAGCAGTCGACACTTCACTGAAAGTGCTAGCACCAGATTTGTTTGCAGCAATGAGTTCCAACATAAACAGACAAAACACACTGCCTCGATTGCAGGACTATTTGAGGAGCTTCCAGCAGCTGACTTCGAGCTACCAGAGACTTGTATCATTAGTTCTGCGTTGGGAGCCTGAACCCAGAATGTCCAAATACTATCAAACACTTCAGCACAGTAGCTAAAGGCCCAGTCTATTGCATGAAACTTTCTTGAAAACTGTCACATCACACATAAAGATCTGGAATGAGCATCAATAACCACAAACACAACATTTGGATTGGAAAGAGAAGGGGCAAAAGTGACATGGAGATAACAAGAAATTAAAAAAGTTCATTCCGCACAGAAACTGTCTGAAGTATCCTCATTGACGACGTACTTCACAAGCAAGGCAATTGAGTTGTTATATATTCACCGTAAGTCCCTGAATCCGATGTGAACAACTAAAGTTTGTAATGTTCTTTATTAAGTCAACAAATAAATCAGTGGCTAAATGCTGATAAAAAGGGAACCACTGATGAGCGAGCCTCTGAATAGATATTTATCCAAGAATGACACTTGATGTTTATTGAATAGAAACATCTGGCAATCAGTTTGTGGTAACATTATCAGGCTTTCAAACCACCACCCAACTACACTAAAACGCATCTACTTTGAAATGAGAGTTCATATTTAATATTGCACTGCTTAACATCTGCAGCTGGTTTCTCTAACACAAATCGTGGCTTGACAAATTTGTTGATACACCAGCAATGGTCAGTGAATCATTTCAGATGTGAAATTTGTTGCAGACTTCTACTTGTTGCTAAGCATTCCTTCAGAGCCCTGGAAAAAAGCACTATTTTTCAATTTTCAGTGAATCACAGGACGAAACTAGAATCGTTAGCAATTGAACTATAAGTATTTCAGAACATATTTAATGTTAAATGATTTCAGTTTCAAACTCAAACAGAATTCACAATGCTCCAAATCTGTCTCCCAAATTCTAAGACATTACTTTGTTCCAAATTAGACAGATAAGGAAGAGCAAACAAAGGTTTCCATCCACAGTGGCCTCCAACTGGAGAGAAAGCTGTTGACAGCAGATTATCCCCAGCTCCTAAATTATAATAGCAATACACTTACACATATAATACTTTTTATTAACTCAATGCTGTGATCAAGCAGTGGGAGCTTGAGAGATTTGTACCAAATACATAAGTCCTTTCTCTCACATATGAAGCAGTGTGAAGTCATCCTTCAAATTTTACAGAGCAACTAACAATTTTACTGAACTATAGTACTTGCACCTTGGCCCAAACCAGCAGCTCATGTGGTGTTTAAGAGACACAGCTTTACTGCAAACTCAGTTATTTGACTTTTGGCAATACTGACTGCACCTTCCATTGTGAAGAAAATCCAGATCTCAGGGTAAATTTTCAGTGGTTGCAATTTCATACTAATGTTTAAATTAACAGACATCTAAAAATGTACAAAACAAGATTGTTTTATATACAAGTTCCAAAAAAAAGTTTGTGGATTTTAAATGTGTGATCCTATATTGTGTTGTAAACATTTTTGATTTCTTTGTTAAACAGAGTTCATTCATTTTCAACCAATGTAAACATTCTAGCCCAAAGATTTACAGTGCACTGAACTCAAACTTAAACCAAATTAAAGATTGATAGGGATCTAAACAGTGGGCCAGATACTCATAGTTCTGCTGTGACTTTTCAATTACCCGACTGATCTGCTCTTAATCGACATCTTGTGGCTCTCAGGTCACTTCTAGTTCTGTTCTCCTTTTCAAATCGGCCCCAAAGAAAAGCATACCGACTCCTACTGAATACTGTATATTGGAATACCAGACATCCTGTTTTAAAGGGTTAATTGGTTTGTTACAAGTTTGTTCACATCACTTGCCTCTCAAACTCGTGCCCTATCAAGCACATCTTTAAAGTCTAATCTTTGGTAAAATTATTGTTGTTTGCTAAGTAATATCAAGATTGCATTTTGGTAAGAAGAATGAGGAGAGGCAGTATAAGCTGATGGTACAATCTTAAAGGGGGCAAATGCACAGAGAGACCTGGGGGTCCACATAAGCAAATCTCTGAAGGTGGCAGGACAGGTAAATAAAGCTGTTAAAAAAGCATACGGGTACTAGGTTTTATAAATAGGGGCATAGAATTCAAAAGTCAGGAGGTTATGTTGAATATTTATAAAATGCTGGTTAGGCCTCAGTTGGAGTACTGCATTCAGTTCTGGGCACCGCACTTTAGGAAAGATGTTAGGGCATTGGAGAGGGTGCAAAGGAGGTTTACCAGGATGGTACCAGGAATGAAGGACCTTAGTTATGAGGAGAAGTTAGCGAAACTAGGATTATTCTCCCTAGAGCAGAGAAGATTAAGAGGGGATTTAATAGAGGTTTTCAAGATCATGAGAGGATTTGATAGGTTGAACCGGGAAAAATAGTTTCCACTGGCATGTGGGTCAGTAACCCGAGGACACCGATTTAAGTTAGTTGTTAAAAGAAACAGAGGGGAGGTTTTTACCCAGCGAGTTGTTCGGATCTGGAATGCATTACCTGAAAGGGTAGTGGAAGCCGATTTAATAACAACTTTTAAGAGAGAAGTAGATGGGTATTTGGGGAGGACCACATTGCAGGGCTATGGAGAGAAAGTGGGCCAGTGGGATTGAGTTGGATTGCTCTTTTCGGAGCTAGCGCAGACACGATGGGTTGACTGGCCTCTTTCTGTGCCGTTTCCCGACGTGAAAGGCGCTCTATAAATGCAATCTTGTTGTTGTTGATGATATAAGTGCTGAAGGATGGAAAACTCTCTCACCTCTCGAAACTGAATACTTTATCAGCATCAAGCACACAGATCTAGCACACCAAAATGCAGAGTAATGCTCCATCTACTTTACTCCAGGAATACTTCTTAACTCCAACCCTGGAAAGACACTCTACATCGAGGAAATAAATACTGATGAAACATTACATAAATTATACAGGTTTGACAATTTAGAAGGAAGTTAGCTTAGGGTGGAGTGGGAGGAACCTCATTAAAGGATATGGAACAATAAAGCTATAGATAAGGTACTGTTAATCCAAAACCAAGGCAAAAGGGCCAAAGGACATAAAGAAAAGCAGTGAACAAATATCAGTAAAACACATTTCCTCAAGGAATAATAAATGTCTAGAAGAATTTACAAGCCGGAAAATAGATGTGAATTATTCATAACACAATTTGATGCTATGATGGGAAGCTAACTTAATAGACAAATGAGATTCAGTGGGCATATTATCTATACCGTTCCTGATTTTTATGTTGTTAAGACATGCTGCTTCTAATTCCATGCTAACTATCCCTATGAGCCTCTGTCCTTTTAAGAATAGAATTTATATTATTCCACATAATACTCTCAAGCATTTCCCTTCTGTATTAGACTGGCTAGTCTACATTTCCCAGATTTGACATCTCATACTTTTTTCAACATTGTTGATTTCTTGTCTATTTCTTGTTTATAGGACTTGTCTATTTCACTTCTATTTTTCTTGAT